CAAATGTTGGTGAATCATGATAAATTGTCATTTGCAAGGCTAATTGGTAACACTTTGCAATAAGGTTAATTAACATTAGTTCATGTATTAACTAACATGAACTAACCATTCTCACAAATCAGAACAACCTCTTGGACAACAACCAGTCTGGTTTCAACTGAGACTGCCCTGCTCTCGATAATTGAAGCTCGGAGACTGGAAAGAGCAGTTTCCAAATCCTCGGTTCTCATCCTGCTGGATCTGTCTGCTGCCTCTGACACAGTTAATCACCAGATCCTCCTGTCAATTTTAAAGACGAAGGGCACCTCGGGAACCGCACTACAATGGTTCAAGTCTTACCTCTCAGGTAGGTCCTTCAGGGTGTCGTGGAGGGGTGAGGTGACCCAACATTTAGCTACTGAGGTGCCTCAGGGCTCAGTGCTTGGACCACTTCTTTTCTCCATCTACATGACATCACTAGGATCTGTGATTCAGAAATATGGCTTTTCCTATCACTGCTACGCTGATGACACACAACTCTACCTCTCATTCCAGCCTGACGATCCGACGGTTGCTGCTCGCATCTCGGCCTGCCTGACAGACATTTCTGACTGGATGAAGGACCATCACCTTCAACTAAACCTTGCGAAGACAGAGTTGCTTATTGTCCCGGCCAACCCAACACTACACCATAACTTCTCCATTCAGCTAGGTTTGTCATCCATAAATCCATCAAGGACAGCCAGGAACCTTGGCGTTGTGATTGATGATCAATTGAACTTCACAGACCACATTGCTAGAACTGGCTGGGCCTGCAGATTTGACTTTTACAACATTAGGAGGATCAGGCCCTTCCTATAGGAGCATGCTACACAACTCCTTGTCCAAGCGCTTGTTCTATCCAGACTGGACTATTGTAATGGTCTCCTATAGCAGGTCTTCCAGCTTGCTCTGTCAAACCTCTGCAACTGATCCAGATGCTGCAGCAAGAGTGGTCTTTAATGAGCCGAAGAGAGCACATGTCACTCCTCTCCTCGCATCAAATTCAAGTCACTGACTTTTGCCTACAGAAGAACCACTCGCTCTGCTCCCTTTTACCTAAACTCATTACTTCAGACTTATGTGCCATCCAGAAACATGTGCTCTGCAAGTGAACGCCGTCTTGTGGTGTCATCTCAAAGAGGCACACAATCACTTTCTCTGACCTTTTCCTCGTGTGTTCCCTGCTGGTGGAATGATCTGCCCAACTCAACCAGAGCTCAATCTGAGTCCGTGTCCATTTTCAAGAAACGGCTGAAGACGCATATTTTTGACAACACTTGATTCATTAATACTAACCCTTTATCTTCTATTCTATAAAAAAAATTAGAAAGTACACGTACTGCGTTAGATTAAACTGGGAAGGGTCATAGCACTTGCATATTGTTGTCCTACTGTTAGTTGCACTGCTTTTTTTGCTCTCATTTGTAAGTCGCTTTGGATAAAAGTGTCTGCTAAATGAATAAATGTAAAATGTAACCATGTCCATGAGCAATAGATTTGTTACGGTATTTGTTAATCTTTGTTAACGTTAGTTAGTTACAAGAATAAAGCTGTTCATTGTTTGTTCATGTTAGTTCACAGTGCATTAACTAATGTTAACAATATTTTAATAAAGTATTAGTAAATGTTGAAATTAACATTAACAAAGATTAATAAATGCTGTATAAGTGCAGTTCCCATGCTAACTATTGTAGTTAACTAATGTTAACCATTTTATTTAAATTAACAATTTCATGTTAAGGTCATTTTTCAAATGCACTACAAATGCTAATAATTTCTTACAAGAAACGTAATTTTTGTGAGCTCTAAAAATAGAACAGAAAAAAAAAGAGGTAAAGTGTTAACAGCGATGATGTCAGATATTCTGATTGATGCTTGATTGACACATGTCTCTCTCACCGCATATGATATATTTGCAGTCACACAGATGGTTCACACCTCCACATGGTTCACTAAAGGTGGCGTGAAAGCGAGGGCTCGGATAAACGCCCTAATAATCCACTCAATCACAAAAACGTCAGTCAAAGGGAAACGCTCCGTACCTACAGTCACTTGAATGTATACCCTGAGTGAATTTATATGCAAACATGCCTGTAAAAACGCAGTGGGTCTTGGGAGCACAATGTCTGCTCCATTGTCTCTATGGGAAACCCCCAGGAAAATAAACTTTTCTCAAGGCGGATTAATGCGCCTCGCCCCGCCCCGCTAATGCGCTCAAACATCACTGAAACATCTGTAGCGTTGAGTAAAATACAGCTCACGTTACTTTAATTTTAAATAATGGTTATTTTTATTATTAGCCTATTCTGTTTTACCACAGTCTCACACACTAGTTTTATGGCAGCAAATCACCCGGTTGATTTGAATTTGCGTCAAATAGCCTAATAGTTTATTATAAATAGGCACGTACACATTTAGGCAACCAACACTTTTTTCAACAAAAGCCATATCGTATTACAACAACAAAAAATGTATTTAGGTCCTCACATAATTTTCCAAAGTAAAGAAAAAATAGCCTATATTATAGAATGCATGTGCTACCAAATAGTGGCTATGTTCATTTAAACTAGGAACGATTTACAGGGCTTGACACTTACTTTTTTTGTTGAAAAATGTAGGAGCCGCGCATTTAGAGACTTTTACTTAACTCATGGACGTTATTATAAAATTTACCAAATGATCATTTCCCCCCTCAGTCCATATTCTTAAAAAAAAAAGCTTGATAAAAAAAAGAAAGAAATGTAAATGTTTTGGTGGGGGTGCTGATGACGCGACCGCCTCTCCTGATATTAATGAGCCATTATCATGCAGGCCGATAACATTGTGTCTCTCTCTGCTTGAGTCCAAGTGTCATGCATACCATTCATTAGCAAAACTAACATTGTCGTACAGGATTCTTTAGGCATGACAGTCATGCTGGACCTTTCTGTGAGACCTATGAGAGAGAGAAGTGTATTGGATAAACTAGACTTCAATTTAAACAGCTCATTATTGATAGAGCACTTATTCATTTAATGCATTACGTTTATTTTTCCCTGAATGCTATGAGCATATGTTGTCCATCACGTTGAATTTGAATATTTGTACAGATGAGTCATTTTATGTCTACATTGCCAGAGTGTTTTTGATTATGACTATTTACATTATTTGTATTATTTATAATAATATATATTTTTTCTTATTATAACGTCCATAAGATGGAGCTAAGTTTCTCTTTTTACGTTGTATGCGCATAAATGACACTGAGTTGAGAGTTGTCAATATTGCCTTAATATGATTGTATTATAATTATGTTATTGTTGTTATGCAATGATATAACATGCAATTTATGTTAAACTTTCTGGTTCAGTGCAAGGCCCATGCTAAACTTTATTCCTGTTTAGTCAGGAATTTAACCCACGCATTTTCCTCCAGCAAAGTTTTTCACATTAGACTGAGACTAACATCACCTAATTACATTAGCTTAATTACTGCTATAAATAAAAGACGCATGGCAACACTGAAGCGGCCCTGGAGCGGCCGGGCTCCTGCTGATCTGCTCTTATTGCTCCAGTTTACAGGTTGATTGTATTTGTTAATGAGTTGCTAACAGCATGTTAATGCGCGCGTGATGGATAGCTGTGTGTGTCGCTGCTGGCATTCGGCCTGCGCTATTCGAGAGAGAGAAAACCATTGCATAATAATTACACTGGCAAAGCATCATGAAGACTGCTCTTATCGTTTATGAGTTTGTGTTGAACTTTAAGTCTATAGCCTACATATAAGTGTGTTGACTGATGTCGCCGTTTATTTACTCTCAGCCTACAAACGCAGCGCCTGATGTTGGTGAGGAATTCCTTATCTCGCGCGAGTTTAACAAAGCTTACAAGTGCCATGTTTCCATCATTTCTCTCCCCCTTTGCCCGCCCGTGTCTGTTTTTCATTTAAACTTTTACTTCTCCGACCCCAGAGACATAATTATACACATTTTTCTTTCCGAAAGTCAGAGGGACTTGCAAACTGAGCCGAATCTAATGCGCTGAAAAAACACAATTAAATGCTTGCTTGAAACATTCGGTAAACACGTCGACATGCAACTAACTGTATCGTGTGGGTGTTTAGCCAGAAACACAGAGGAGAACTTCAAGATGTTTAAATTGTAAACCATTAAATATATTACACAAAAGGATGTTCTTAGTGAAAAACTAAAGGCCTATATTATATATATATATATATATATATATATATATATATATATATATATATATATATATATATATATATATATATATATATATGCCTATACGCTGTCAAATCGATTAATGCAACTAATATAAAAGTTTGTGTGTGTGTGTGTGTGTGTGTGTTATATATAATATAGAAACTTTTATGTTAGATTCGATTAATCGCAATTAATCGATTTGAAAGATATATAGGCCTAATGTGTGTGTGTGTGTTTGTGTGTGTGTGTGCGCGCGCGTCAAAATTCCAGACAGTCAAGAGGAAAACCAAAAATATGAAATTTCTGTCATTATTTATCCTCCTGTCTTCCAAACTTGTGCAACCCTCTTCAGTGCACGAGAGGAGACATTTTGAGGAATGTGTCTGTCACTTTTTTCGTGTAATGCCAATGAATGGGGACTGAAAATTCAAGATCATCATACAATAACCTATATAATGGCTGACAAAAGCAGTCAATAAAACGCATAAACTTTAATATCTTATTTATAGGTCTGTTTCTCACATAAAGCTATAATATGGCTTCAAAAGACTTAAAAATAGCCGAACACATTATGTTTGCGTTCCGTTTTGAGGCTTGATATCAAGTCAATATTCATTGTCCATGCATGCAGACATTCTTCCAACGACCTTGTGCATTCCACAAAAGAACGAACGTCATACAGGTTTGGAGCGACTTGAGGGTGAGCAAATGACGACATAATTCTTATTTTGAGGGGAACTATTCCTTTAAGTGTGAACCTTCGCTTTTCCACCGCAGCAAGCCGAGTGAACTGCCAGTCAAAGTGACGTCAGTCTCGTCGGAGTCGCGCTGAGGCGAAGTGCTGGTGCGCGCTCGGAGACCCCCGTTAACTGCGCGCACACGCAGTGTCACCATGAGCAGCAGTATATGGGGTGGATCTTAAATCATAACTGCAAGATGAACATACGGCACATCTTTCTGAGCGCAGCATCATAGCCTTCCCTCGCGATCCTGAAGCCTTCACGCTGCACGAGACACTCCGGCTCGGCCACACTGCCTGCTGCTGCCCGGCGGGTAGGCGGAGGCTGGAAGGGGGAACACATCTATTTTCTGCTAATAATAATAAGCAACAAAATGAAGCGGAGAAAGATGCTGGTAGCGGCGGGCTTCTGTCTCTCGTTCCTCATGGGCACGCTGATGAATGTATTGTTCATTCCGGGATTCGAGCACCACGGCGAGCGCGTGCATCGCCACCACCAGCACGAGAAACAGCAGCAGCCGCAGCCCGACGCGGACTCTCCTGCCCGGCTTCAAATCGAGGAGCTGACACCCTCCGCCGGGCGACTCCCGGAGCTCCAGCGGCAAATACGCGAGCGATTAGATGAGGTTCTGCGGTACCGCCAGAGACGCGCGCACTGGGTCGGCACCGGAGCGCTCGAGCGCAGGCGGCTCATGGACCTGGAGCAACGCGGAGAGTTGGAATCATACAAAGGAATCGAGAAAAACAATAATTACGATCAGTCCCGAGCTGTATCCATAGCAACAAAATCGGTGCTCGGCTGCGGCAGTATTGATAACGTGACCAATGTCCAGTATCTGGGCTCGGGATACACGAAGGCGGTGTATAAGGCGGCTCTGAACAGCAGCTTCTCCGTCGCGTTGAAATCCGTCGATTTCGGGGGTCACGATATGGAGAATTGTGTGAAGAAATACGCGTCGTCGACAGACTGTTACAAACTCGCATCCTTCAAAATTGTCAAGGAAATGACGCTGATGGAGAGATTGCAGCACCCTAATATTCTCAAGGTAATGTTAATTCTATTTTTAAACAAAGCACATCCTGAGCTAAACTCAAAATTAAATTCACACGTTGCAGCGCAACTTTTAAAACGGTTTCATCGTTATAACACGGTTGTTTCTTTTTATTCAACTCGTCACAATATATGTTCCACCCAAGTTTATGAGTTTTTAAATTCTAACATATTTTACCATTTAAACTTTAGCTGATTTATTTGTATCCACTCCATATTAGCTGTCTGTAGAAACACTGAACCCATAACTAGAAAGGGTTAGAAAAAGATTTATCTAGCCTATATCCCTTTCTGAAATACAGAAAAAAACTTACATTCATAGCATATTTCATCACTTTATATGAGTGCAAGTAGGCCTATATTTTTATTTATTTAGCCAATGTTTTTTTTTTTTTTTTTTTTTTTACTCAAAGCCTGGTTAACTTCTGGGCTGCATGGCTGGACTGCAGGAAGACAGAAGATAAACGAGGGCTGTTCATTTCAGAGTCTCGTTCTCTTATGTTTACAAGAGCTGATTACGACTTCAACAACTACACAAGCGCTCATGTCAAATAAACGACACGACAGAGCCGCTTCTGCTCGCCTTAAAACGGGGAACCGAAACACGCAGACAATGAGCCGATGCCCATTTTCAGTCATTGTTGATTGGGTGATAGTGTAATTACTAAGACACACACCGCTTGTGTTGATTTTGATACTCCACGCGTAAACATTCACACTTGAGATCTCACACAGTTACTAAACACGCGGGTTTACATTAGAAAGGCCTATATGATGGACACTAATCGTTTTTCGTCTTTTGCTTTAGGATTTCTTTAATGAGCCCATTAATTACTAAACTTATAATACTGGAGTGCTCTTGTTACACATATTATACTTCAACAATTAATAACTATGTCACTCATTAACTAACTAACTAATGATAACAGCGAGCATTTATAAACAGTTCAGCCTAATTCCTAATGTTGTTTATTAATGTTACCCATGTAAACACAAGCTGTATTAATTTAAATCCACAGTAAAAATCAAAGTTATAAGTTCATATTTTACACTGATTCAGAAATTACTGATTTTAAGGTAACCCTTTATTTTACAGTGTCCTTGTTACATGTAGTAATTATAAATTACATGCAACTAACCCTAAACCAAACCTAATTCTAACCCTATAGTAAGTACATGTACTTACTTAATATTACTCAGTACTTAAATGCATAGTTACACTGTAACAAGCACACCTTAAAAGAAAGTGTAACCGAATTTAATTCTGCTATTATCCAAGATAGTTTGATTTGTTTTATAAGATTGATAGGCTATGTACAGTGGAACAGATCCCCCACAGTTGAATATGGCCATGGAGAGATGGTTTATGTCATTTCATAAGCAGTAACCGTTGAGGTGGTGTTATTGAAGGCTTTATCAGAAGCTGTATGTAGATTGGGGCCGCCGGCCTGATTTCATTCTGTGCGCTCACAGCAGGGGACCAACGGTGCAGGACCCCAGTTTATCAACTCACACAAAAGACACAGTCATCGTTATTATATCGCAAAGACATTATGATCACAGACAGCTGCCATATAAATTCATAATTTTTTTAAATATCTACAAATGAACAACTTTAAACATTAAACATTTGAGAAGCAAACTGTAATCTGGTTTTGAAATGCTCAACATTGTTCAAGAAATATATATTTGTGACAGTCCAAGCTGTTGCATTTTAAAATCATAAAAATATTGTGCAATGCATTAAGGAATAACATAATATTGTTGTGTTAAACCAAATTAAATGTGGCCACAGCTTCTTATTTGTATTGTATCTTTTGCTTGATTTGAATTAAGCACACTATATGAATATGGAAACTTTGATTTATTTAGAAAGGCATATTGAAGCTTATTTTCTTTATTTCTGCTATTCTCTTATATATCAAAGAAAGAAATTATCTTAATTTAAAAACATATAAACCCCTTCAGAATAATTTTGGTATAAATGTGAAGCATTCTCTAATGTAAAGTCTCTTATTTATTTATGATCTATTTATTTGCCCATCTATTTTAAATTAGCTTTGTTAAGCTTAACATAATAACGCCTGATTTAGTCATTCATAACTGACATCAAATAGCCAGTTGACCAGTTTTAAATGCTTTGTGGTTGCACTTTATTTTACAGTACGTGTACTTACAGTGCACTTACCTAGGGAAGTAGTGGTAATATAAGGTAACTACATGGGTTAAGGTTAGGTTTAGGGGTAGGTTCAGGATTAGTACCTAGTTATTATCCAGTTATTGTAATTACTATGAACATGGTGAACAGGACTGTACAATAAAGTACCTACTAGTTTGTAGTTTGTAGTTTGTAGTTGTTAAAAAAGCACATATATATTTTTTTCCCCATTACATTTTAAGTCTTTTACAAATATCAATATGTGTAAAAGTTGAGTTGAATATGGGCGTCAGCTCGTTCTGTAGTGCCACGTCTCACTCTCTGCCAAGAGCTTCAGAGCCGGCGCTTGGTTGTGATCGGGCCCTAGTTCTTAAAACATTCATAAATCAGCATAACGACATAAATAATACCTCTCCCTATAAACCTATAATGATGGAACACATACACAGATATCCCTCACATGTAAGTATTAATAAACAACCCGTGCAGTCGACATTCTTCGCCCTCGCACCTAACCAATCAGGCCCAGAAGTGCTGCTTTTCACTTGCTTTGGCAGCCGCCACATCAGACAGAAACTGCGAGGTCAAAGGTGAGAAGATATGATCCGGCGGGCTGATTATCAGCGGGTCGGGTTCAGCCAGAGTGCAGGAGAAAGATCTGCACAGGTCTGAAGGAGAGCGAGGTCACACTCCGCTCGGCTTGCCAGTCTTTAACTAGCATGTCTGTCAAGCAGATCCCGTCTTCCTCTTACAAGCGAGGGCAACACCTGCTGTATAAACAGTCATGACTGGTGGTGGTGGTGCTGGATCTGTGTGGACAGGGAGAGTGGGCTTATTCATGTACATGTCAGCACTGACACCAGAGACACCAGAGAGCACGATGCAAACTGTGTGTGTCTGATTAATGACCACTGGCTATCTCTCTGGAAGCTTGTTTCCGCCACGCAATAAAAGATAAAAAAGGTAATTGTGACTTTTTATACGGGACGGGGGTGGGGTTCTCCGAGCTCCGAGTTTGGCCCGAACCCAGAGAAATCCCGCGGGATGTGATAGGACTAGTTAGGACTAGAAGTGGGGAGATGGTGTGGTGGAGGGATGCTGATAAACTGTCAATGAACAGAGGTAAGACTGCTGTATGTATACCTCTTATCATATGCGTCTCTATAGCACGCATTGTGTATTATCGTGCAATTTATACGCGATAATTAGTTTTTACGTGCAAATGATACGCAGTTTTCGTGTGCATTTGATACGGAGTTCATTTGCGTGTAATACACACGCACCCCACACCACTAATTCTACCCAAACGTATAATACACACGCCTATGGCAAGCCGTTTTTATGGCAAGCCGTTTTAACTTTTATTCATTTCCAGGATATGAATACTTGATATCAACAATTCAATTTTCACTAGTTAAAATTATAATTATTGATATCAGGAATAATATTTCTACTAGTAACAATGGCAATTTTTGATATCAGGAATTACATTTTCACTAGTAACAATGCTAATTCTTGACATCAACATTTACATTTTCACTAGTTAAAATGATCATTTTTGATGTCAACAATTGAATTGCAACTAGTAAAAACTATAATTCTTGATATCTGTAATTGTATTTTCACTAGTGAAATGTCACCATAGGCTGCCATTCAAAATCAATTCTTGATATCAAGAATTTATTTCTTACTAGTTGAAATTCCAATTTCACATATCAGAAATACAATTCTTACTAGTAAAAACCTTTATTTTTGATATCAAGAATTAAATTGTCACTAGTTGAAATGTCTATTCTTGATGTCAACAATTGATTTTGAATGGCAGTCTATGGTGACATTTCACTAGTGAAAATACAATTGTTGATATCAAGAATTACATTTTTGATATCAACAATTCATATCCTGGAAATGAATAAAAGTTAAAACGGCTTGCCATACACGCACCCCACACCACTACTAAACCTACCCTAACCAAGCCATGCGTATCCTATGCACGTAAAAACTCATTTTCGCGTATAAATTACACGATAAACACACTGCGTGCTATAGAGACGCATTTAGTGTGATCGGGTTGTAGATTGAGTTGATTAACTGAATGTGCTCCTCTCGTGTTAAATGGGTTCATTGTCTGAAAGCGCTCCTTCCGACCGACCTTTGTTAGTAAAACATCATAAAAAACACTGTCAGGATTTAGTAAAGACACGCAGTGAAAAATTAGCGCCGTGGACAGGGTTATTTTTGCGGCTGACTTTATTGCATATGCATTTGTAGGAGTTTCCCTTTCAGACGCAAAATGTATGTGAGGAGAGTATTTACAGTAATCATGAAAGCTGATTCACTAAGGTTTGCGCTTGCAGTTTACTGGTATTGGTGCCATTATTTACCGGCCAAAAAAAGCATGTCTTAAAGCAGATGCTATAGTATGCGCTGCTCTTGGTAGATTGTGTTGGTCATAAATGATCCGGCTGTGTCTGTGTTCTTTAATGTGTGTGTCGTCAGTAGATCATGCGCTGAACTTTACACTCACATCGATGCTTTTATTGGATTGCGCTCTCACGTTAATTTAGCCTGTTTAGTAAATCTGGCCCTTTGTCCTGTAGTATTTTTACTTCTTCTTCCACATTTATTTTATTTAATATTTCACAATTCTGAGAAAGAAAAAAATGACAACTGCAAGATATAAACTCTTTATATCCCACAAACTCGCAATTGCAAAAGAAAAGTCCGAATTGTGAGATAAAAAATCACAATTACATAGTCCATGTAATAAATTAAAGTGCCACTATTATGCGATTTTAAAGGTTCCTTATTTTGTTTTTAAGGTCTCCTACAATAGA